GCCCTAGCACCTTCTGCTAACCCATATCCTAATACTTAACACACTGCAGTGTATGTCGTCTCTTTGCCTCTTCAGACCATAAACATCTTGAGGGCAAGGATAGGTTATCATTCATTTTCATATCCTTAGTGGCTGGAACATATCAATCAATCAGTACTTACTTATTAAATTAATGAATATAATGAAAATCTGTCTGGGATACCTTCTGTGATTTTTATTACACAGTTTCCTTGATAAAGCAACTGAACTGACATTAATATTAAAATTACTGGCATCTGATCCAGCTAGGGTGGCGTACACAGAGCACCACTGTTTGAGAGGCTGAAAGCCGCATGGGGTTCATCCTGAGTCACCCTGAGCATGCCAGATGTGGCTGCACATGCATGTAATCCTGGCTAATTGAGAGGTTAGTGCAGGCTCACGACACAGCAAAACCCTGTCCAAAACACCTACCTCAAGACCAACAGGTGGTGTGGTGGTTAAGGCTGGACTTACACGTGATCAACTGCATGCTTCAAGTCCTGGACCCAACGATTTGAGAAACAAACCAGGTGTTCTGTGTATGTATGCTTAAAATCCCAAAAGAAGAAATGAAACAGAAGAGATTGCAATGTGGCCATCTGCCATGGGGAATGCTTTCTCACTTTCCTTCTCTCTCCTGTGAGTGTGCGTGCCCTCTGGAAAATTTTTAAAAAGAGGGAGGGGGATAGTTGTAACCATGGGCACTGCCATGGGGAAGGGGCAGGGGCACTGCTTTGCCCAATTGTGAGAAATTAGGATAAGGATGCTGGTGTATCACCTTGTCACTTCTACAAACTACATCAATATATGTATTATGTTTTTCACATAACCATGATGTGACCTCATGGGACCAGCACAGTTGACTGTAGTTCAAGTCCCAGACCTGGTGGCTTAAAGCTCACACTGGATACATGTGCATGTGTCTCCAAAATATTGAAAGAATGGATGAGAAGGGACTATAGTGTGGCCATCCCACCAGGGGATGACTTCTCTCTTTCTGTCTCTCTCTCTGGTGAACGCATGCGCCCTACAGCAAAAAAAATTTAAAAAAAAATAAAAAAGTGACCTTGTACACTTGTACGCAAGACAGAGTTACCAGAACATGAGATTGAACTTATTACCTACAAAGTGGGGATATCAGCAGATGGCATAATGGTTATGTCACTGAACTCCCACATAATCAACCATGGTTCAAGTCCCAAACCTGGCAGCTTACAACTCACACTGGGAGCATGCACGTGCATGCCCAAGATCTGAAGAAGAGATTGTGGCATGACCATTCCCCCAGGAGGTGATTTCTTGCTTTCTGTCTCTCTGTCTCTCAGGTGAGCACACGTGCCCTACAGCAAAAATCTCTCTAAAAAACAAACAAAAGAATATCTACAAAGTGGGTAAGATACATTTCTAGGCTGCAATATCCTAAAAAGTAAAAAGGCAAAAACTTCTTAATTTACTACTATTTCAGTTCAGAATTTTTCTGTAATGGTAGTGTGTGAATGCATGAAAGAGAGAGAGAAAACGCATCCTCCACAGAGCCTTGGCATGCTGTAATCCCCTTTCCCCAGCTCCTCAGGATCCTAGATGCCCATGCACACACCCAGTATATTTTCAGGCTGATTCAGGGATAGGGAGCACTTGCATTATTGTAGTGCAAGAGCAGCTGGACAAATAGGAAAATAAATCTGAAGGGAGAAAGAAAAAGAAACCTCATTTAAAAAAAAAATGCTGCATGGTAGCAGGGCAAATTTAAATAGCTACAGTAGACTAGCTGCATCAGATAGATTAAAGAAATGCCCTTGCCCTCAAGAAACCTAAGACTCTCAATGAGGAATTATCCCCATACCTTTCCAAACCAAAAATGTAAATATTAGAGAACATGAGAGAACCTATTTTTCTCAAACCAAGAGTCAGGAGCCTAAGATAAATAGACTGGATGATCTGGGACAGAAAAAAATAAGACTGGCTAGAAAGCTTTATGAGTTTAAGGTAAAGCTATCCCATACATCAAAGTCCATGCCATAAGCATCAGAAGCCAAGGAAAGGAACAATCTAGAACCAAGAGTCAAGAGGCTCAGCTCAAGAGAGCGGGTCATCTGGCTTCTGAGCGGGAACTCTATATTCCCAAGCAACAAAAGAGAGAATTAAAAATGGGTGATGTTGAGAAAGGCAAGAAGATTTTTGTTTGGAAGTGTGCCCAGTGCCACACCGTGGAAAAGGGAGGCAAGCACAAGACTGGCCCAAATCTCCATGGTCTATTTGGGCGGAAGACAGGTCAGGCCCCTGGATTCTCTTACACAGATGCCAACAAGAACAAAGGCATCACCCGGGGAGAGGAAACACTGATGGAGGATTTGGAGAATCTCAAGAAGTCCATCCCTGGAACAAAAATGATCTTTGCCGGCAGTAAAAGAAGTCAGGAAGAGCTGAGTTGATAGCTTATCTTTAAAAAGCTACTAATGAGTAATAGGTGGCCACTGCCTTATTTATGACAGAACAGAAATGTCTCACCTTTTTTATGTGTACCATATTTTATTTGCTCTCCTACACCAGAACTCGGATCATGACGGCTAACAGGATATTTTTGTTGGACAACCCTGATTTAAGTAAGACTGGCTTGTGGTTAAATTAATATTGCTTTTTTTTTTATTTCATTTTGATAGTAATTTCAGTTCAGTAAGTGCTATCACTATTTGTCCTTTCTAAAGATATAATTGGTAATTCATTAGTGATGCTCATCTTTCTACAAAGATGGTGAATGCCATCTCAAAGCCTACTGGAGTTGTTTTTTTTTTTAGGCTATAGGTAACTGATTATATGAATATATAAATGCTGAAGAAATCTCTTCACTTCTCAATACTAAGCAGACTCGCCTGTGTTTTAATTTGTGTTTATTAACCTGTTAAGGCAAAAGCTGAAGATAAGGTAGTGATAACTACTTTATATATTTGGCCATAACTCTACCAATTTAATTAGAATTCCCCGTATCCAAAACACTGCCTTTTACTTATTGAAAGACATTTTAGTGTGGTTTATGTATACTATCAGGTAAAAAATATGTAACACTTAAAAAAAAAAGGCTCAGGGCCAGCCCATAGAACAATGATTAAATGAATACCAGCCCACAGATCCAATTCCAACCCAGGCACCTTAAAAAACATACTAAGCAGAGCCAGCAGATGGTGTAGTGGTTAGGTCGCTGGACTTCCACATGTCCAATCATGGTTCAAGTCCCAAACTCGACAGCTTAAAACTCCCGCCAGGCGTATATGTGTGTGTGTCCAATATCCCAAGAGGAGACTGAAGGAGAAGGGATCATGGAATGGGCATCTCCTCTGGTGGGGGTGGTGATTTCTCTCTTTTTGTCTGTCTCTCCCTCTAGTGAGCACATGCATCCTATGGCAAAAACTTCTAAAAAAAGAAAAAAGAAAAACACACTAGGTATGTATGTGTGCATGCCCAAAATCCTGACAGGAAGAACTGGAGAATGTATGTGTGTTCTTTCTCTTGCTCTCTCTCTCTCTCTGGTGAGTTGCCCTCCAGAAATCAAAAAAAAAGAAAAAAAAAAAAAAAAAGCTCAACTCAGATCTTAACAGGCTGTGTAACCTTGGACAAGTCACTTCACTCCCTTAATCCAAGGACAGCTCTTCTTTTTTCCTTTTTTTTTTTAAGAATTATTTATTTCATTTTATTTATTATTATTATTATTTTAACTTGGTATAGGGTGTACTCACCAGAGAGGGGAAAAGTAAGAAAGCAAGCTGCCAGGTCTGAGACTTGCACTGCAACCAGCCAAGTGGGACTCCAGCAGCCCAACCACCACACTACCTGACAGATTCCAAAGATGGGTCTTCTAGGCCAGCAGGTGGCATAATAAAACTATACTGGCAAGGTTGCCTGTGACTTAACAGCTGGATCCTACACGGTCAGCTACATGGCTGACTGCTGTTCAAGTCCTAGGCCTGACACCTTGAAAAATAACGCCAAGCACATGTGTGTACATGCCCCAAATCCCAAGAGAATGGGACAAAAGGGATCGCAGTATAGTCATCCCCCTGAAGGATGATTTCTCACTTTCCTTCTCTCTCTCTTTCCAGTGAGCACAGGTACCTTACACCAAACTAAAAAGCAAACGCACAAACAAAAAATAAAGTTAGCTCTTCTGGGGCCAGCAGGTGGCTTGGTGATTGAAGACACTGGACTCCCACTGGCCGACCATGGTTCAAGTCCCAGACCTGGTGGCTTGTTTTCTCACTTTCCTCTTTCTCTCTCTCAATTTAAAAAAATGATAATAATTATAGGGACCAGGAGATAGTGTGATGGTTAAGGCGCTGCACACTCCCACATGGCTGACCACAGTTCAAGTCCTAGACCTGAACTGGTGGCTTGCTTTCTCACTTTCTTTCTCTGACTCTCTCTGGTCAAATTAAAATAAATGAATAAATATATAAAAATTAAATAAGCAATTCTTTAATAATAATAATAAAGTTAAATAAAAATAATTCTTAAAAAAAAAAAGGTCTTTTGTAAAATGGGCATAATAAAACTGTACTGGCAAGGTTGCCTGTGACTTAATAAGTAACATGAAATCGCATTTAAAGATTTTACATGGGAACCAGCAGTTAGCGTAATGGCTATGTCGCTGGACTCCCACGTAGTCGACCGCGGTTCGCATCCCAGACTTGGTGGCTTAAAACTCACGCCAGGCACGTGTGCGTGCGTGCCCAAGATCCCGAGAGGAGAATGGAGGAGAAGGGATTGTGGTGTGGTCATCCCCCCTGAGGGAGTGATTTCTCGCTTTCTGTCTCTGTGTCTCCCTCTGCCTGTCTGGCGAGGGCACGTGCCCTATAGCGAAAACCTCTCAAAAAAAAAAAAAAAGATTTTACACAACATACCAATGTAACATAAAAGGAAGCAAAAATCATTCCTCTAGATGGAGTAGAAATCTGTGGCTCAACAACCAAAGTCTAAGCCTGACTCACCTTCCCAGCCTTGTTAACCCCCTTGATGAATCTGTGGTCCCTCAAGTGGAAGGAAGAGTCATGTGAAGCTCCAGGGTGGGGCGGTGACTGTTCAGTCAGTTGTTCCGTATCTCAGTGGCTTCATCTATAAAACAGGTAGTGTGGAATTCACTCACGTATCCACAAAACAGTGCAGGTCTGAAGAAGGGAGTGGAGAATTTACCAAATGTGAGTAAATATTTACATAAACCTCCCCCACCCAAGAATAAATAACCGAGAATATCAAGATTATCAAAATTATCACTCCCTGGACAAGATTAAGAGGGGATTTAGAGATCATTTAATCACTTGTTTAGCAGAGGTCTCAGAGCTAGTCAGTGGCAGAACTGAGGCTAAAAAAGCCTCAAATTCCAAAATCCAGTGCCCTCTCTGCCAGATCACTCACCCAAGGCACCAAATATTATCGACACTGAGACGCATTACAACCTGACAGCCAAATTCAGGCTACTGAGGGGAGGGCTGCGGGACTCGGGGGGGAGCTGGCAAAGGAAAGGCTTCACTGAGAAGATACGACTCCTCAGGTGTACAGATAAGAAGAAGTCAAGGTAAAATTCAGGCGGAAAAGACTTAAAATAGGCAGTCCTAGGAAGAAAGACCTGCTGGATAAATTTTTCTATAGGGAAAATAAATAAGTAGCAGATTCAGAGGCCCAGAATGCTTTGTTTCAGAATACTCTTGGATTATATACAATTTAGTCCTTTTGTTGCCTGAGTTTTCACATTTACTAATACTTTTAATTCCCTAATGTACTCTATCTTGAAGCCTTCAGCAGAGACCACATCTAGCTCCATATATAGCCTCTGGACTGCTATGGCCTAGATTAAAATACTTGCTTTACCACTTAATAGCTATGACACCTTGGATAAATTCCTTCACCTCTCTGTACCTATGTGAAATGGAAATAATTCTTAAAAAAAAAAAAGAAACTTATATTTTAATGGGAGTTGACAAATAAGCAGCTATGGTAGTCTCTAGAAGGGTGCTTGGAACACAGCAGTTTTGCTTTTTTTTTTTTTTTTTTTTGAGAGGTTTTTGCTATAGGGCACATGCACTCACCAGAGAGACAGAGAAAGCGAGAAATCACTCCCCAGGGGGGATGGCCATGCCGCATTCCCTTCTCCTCCATTGTCCTCTCAGGATCTTGGGCACGCATGCACACGTGCCCAGCATGAGTTTAAGCCACTGGGTCCGGGACTCAAACCATGGTCCACTACATGGGAGTCCAGCGACATAGCCATTATGCCAACTGCTGGTCCTGTTTTGTGAAGATTAAATGTATATAATAGTCACAACTTACCAATAGGTAGGTTTGTTTTTGCCACAGGGCATGTGTACTTGCCAGAGAGAGACGGAAAGAGAAAGTAAGAAATCATCTCTCAGGGAGATAGCCACACTGCAAATCCCTTCTCCTTCTTTCTCCTCCTGGGATCTTGGGCACACAGGCACACATACCACGTGTGATTTTCAAGTCACCAGGTCCAGGACTCGAACTGGGGTCAGCTGTGTGGGAGTCCAGCGTCTTAACCACTATGCCACCTGCTGGCCCACCAACAGATTTTTAACTAGCCACAACATATGCTTTTTTATATAAACAACACTTACATACTAGGGTACACTTATCATAATAAATACTGCTTTGCAAATTTAGTTTGTTATGTATGTGTGTAGCATATGTCAGAGTCATGATGTAACATTTATTTTGTACAGGGATTTGCTTTTAAAATGTGAAAGCCAGGCCTGGCATAGTGGTTAAGGTGCTGGACTCCCACATGGTCAACCATGGTTTGAATCCCAGATCTGGTGGCCTGTTTTCTCTCTCCCCCACCCCAAATTAAAAAGTAGTAATAGGGGGCCAGCAGGTGGTGTGGTGATTAAAGGCACTGGATTCCCACATGCCTGACCACGGTTTGAGTCCTGGACCTGGCAACTTGCTTTCTCGCTTTGTCTTTCTCTGTCTCTCTCTGGTCACATTAAAAAATAACAACAACAATTGGAATTAAATAAACAATTCTTTGGAAAAAATGTAATAAAATTATTTTTTTAATGTGAGGCATTGAATTAATGCACAGGACAAGGCTTAAAACTGTGCCTAGCACATAGCAGCCAGTTGGTACTAACTACAATACTATTATTATCACTGTTCCATACCTACCTACTGAAGTTGTTTGCAGGCTTATCTAAAATAACATGAAAGCCCTTCGGATATCTTGATACATATTAATGTAGGCAAAGGCAAAAAACCTTTCTCTCCATCCCTGATACTCACACAGCAGAACCACTGTCAAGGCACCTATCTGCTGCCTGTTCTGCTAGTTATGTGTTAACACTCAACTGAAGAGTCCACAGACTACAACGGATCTAATACTCTGTCATGTCTGTCAATATTTGCAGAGATGGAGGCCTGGTGCCTAAGTAAAATAATTTATTTTTACCTGTTCAGGGCTCTCAACTGGGAAAGGTAGGTATTCAACCCATGCATAGCTAAGGAAAGCAAGTGAGTCATATGGGAATTGTTTGCACCCCCAGAACCATGTAGACTCAAGTGCACCACAGACAAGGCCAGACTGACAGACATCTGAGCCCCTGGGCAAGGCTGAGTCACTTCCTCTTCCCTTTCCTCACCCAGACACCCCATGAAATAGATTTCCACCCATAACAGGTATCCCTTGCATCAGGAAAAACTGGGAGTCCCCTAAGAGAAACAAATTTAGGCTGAATATACAAGAATAATAAAGAGGTTTCTATAAATGACAACTTCACCTAAACGTTTAAAATTGCATTGAAAATCTAAAACGCTGATTTGCAGAAAAATCTGGAAAATGTGCTCACCAGTAAAGAAATGAGGTCTGGATTCCATCCCCGACACTGTGTGACCTTGAATTAGTCACTTCACCTCTTTGTTTTTTTAAGTGTCATCCTCTGTTTAAAAAAAAAAAAAAAAAAAAAAGTAACACTACATAACTTACAGGATCATGGCAAAAACTAAAGATAGCACGCAGTAACAGTGGTTAACATAGGGCTTAGCGCTGGGAGATGCACAAGGATCCTCTGTCCCTCTAGACTAAAAATGAACGCCAAATGTGGTAAACTGAGGTTCCCTGACCAGCTGGCTCATGAAAAGGTCACAAGAGTCCTAGCCTCTTCGAGGAAATGAAAGCGGCTTTATAAAACCGTTATCTTTTGTCTCCCTGCACAGCAGCCTGTGCTTTCAGGAAACCTAAGAAAGCAGTCATTTCCCACCTCATTCCGTAAAGCAGGGCTTTCTAACTGTTCTAGTGGTGGTGGTGTTGGGGGTCAGTTCAAATTATCCTCTGGCACTGTCCCCATCATCCATTATCAATTTCAAAAAGAGCGAGAGGCCCAATACTAAGCCTACATTTCAGTTACTCGCGTTCCTGTTTCTAATTAAATGGAGGGGGCTTACAATTCGCTCTACCCCCACCCCGCCCCCAGAGTCAGACCAGTCCCCGGGATTTTATCTCCAGCCGGCATAAAACTCGCGATGCGGGGAAGGCCTTGGGGGGGTGGGGGGTGCATTCTAGAGCTTTCCAGCCGACCCCACTTTCTCTTTGGCAACGAATCCAGGCCACGTGTCGCCATTTTGTGTTCCAGAAACATGGCCGCCGCCGTGGGGAAGGGAGCGGGGGAGTGCCACGTTAGCCGCCTCCCGGAGGGACCCTGAGGCCCGTTGCGCGCCCGGCCTCTAGTAGCCTGGCTCGGCCGGAGGAAGGGGAAAGGGCAGAAATTACAACTCGGAGATCAACGTCTCTAGCGACATTTCCTCGGCGGAGGAGGTCGGAGGGAAAGGCCTTCCAAGATGGCGGGTTCCGCTGGGGGCCGCCCCGAGGGGAACAGGGTCGAGAGGCTGCGGCGGGAGCGTGGAGCGGCGGGAAAACCCGCAGGAACTCTCCAAAGCCGGGGTCGGCACCCGCGCGGCCTCCACAGCAGCACACTATTGTCCCCACGGTCTGACAGGCTGCTGTGGTTCAAACGCCCCAAAAGCAGCAGGTGGAGTTTCTGCGGGTTTCACCGAAAAAAAAAAAACTTGCAAAACGCGAACAAAGCATTATGTAAATGGACGCCATTCTTTTTATGACCACGATTCTAGCATCTCCCAGAAAGTCAAGAGAACCGCAACTTGGGACGCGGCAAAGGGTGGGCTTCGGACTTTCTGTTCACCGGCCGCCGCTGAGGGGGCGAGGCAGGGCCCCCCCCCCGCCCCCCCCCCCCCCCGGAAGTCAGCCGCTGCCCCTCCCGCTCCCCCCGCACCCTCGCGCAGGCGCTCTGGCTCCCTCACGCGCACGTTTTAAATCCGCGGCGTCCCAGCTGGCGCCTGCATTGTCGTCCGGGCTGTCCGTATCACTCCGCGCATAAACCCTTCTCATAGGCCTAGAAAATAATGTGTGTCGCCCATACACAACGCTGATATTTTTAGCCGTCCGCCGTTGCCATTAGAGTTGACAAAATACATGTTCACTTTAAAAACCTGCCGGACCCACATCTTCCGCCTACCCAACACTTGATATTGCCCACTGCGTGTTAAAAGGGTTTTTTTTTAAGTACGACGTCGGGGTTGGCGCAATCTTGTGACCTAAAAAAGACGGGTCCTCATTTTTTTCAAGGGGTCCTGCGCAGCAAGCACTTCCGGGGTCAGAGGGTACGCGGGGTTGAAAGCGGGCTTCCCGCCCCGCCCAGACCGCCGAGGCTGCCGCCGGAGTGCCGGCAGTTTTGGGCCTGCACCTCCCCTCCCCCCGCCAGCCACCAAAGACTTGACCACGTAACGAGCCCAACTCCCCCGAACGCCGCCCGCCGCTCGCCATGGATGCCGGTGTGACTGAAAGTGGACTAAATGTGACTCTCACCATTCGGCTTCTTATGCACGGAAAGGAAGTAGGAAGCATCATTGGGAAGAAAGGGGAGTCGGTTAAGAGGATCCGCGAGGAGAGTGGCGCGCGGATCAACATCTCGGAGGGGAATTGTCCGGAGAGAATCATCACTCTGACCGGCCCCACCAATGCCATCTTTAAGGCCTTCGCTATGATCATCGACAAGCTGGAAGAAGATATCAACAGCTCCATGACCAACAGCACGGCGGCCAGCAGGCCCCCGGTCACCCTGAGGCTGGTGGTGCCGGCTACCCAGTGCGGCTCCCTGATTGGGAAAGGCGGCTGTAAGATCAAAGAGATCCGCGAGAGTACGGGGGCCCAGGTCCAGGTGGCGGGGGATATGCTGCCCAACTCCACCGAGCGGGCCATCACCATCGCTGGCGTGCCGCAGTCTGTCACCGAGTGTGTCAAGCAGATCTGCCTGGTCATGCTGGAGACGCTCTCCCAGTCTCCGCAAGGGAGAGTCATGACCATTCCGTACCAGCCCATGCCGGCCAGCTCTCCAGTCATCTGCGCGGGCGGCCAAGATCGGTGCAGCGACGCTGCGGGCTACCCCCACGCCACCCATGACCTGGAGGGACCACCTCTAGATGCCTACTCGATTCAAGGACAACACACCATTTCTCCGCTCGATCTGGCCAAGCTGAACCAGGTGGCAAGACAACAGTCTCACTTTGCCATGATGCACGGCGGGACCGGATTCGCCGGAATTGACTCCAGCTCTCCAGAGGTGAAAGGCTATTGGGCAAGTTTGGATGCATCTACTCAAACCACCCATGAACTCACCATTCCAAATAACTTAATTGGCTGTATAATCGGGCGCCAAGGCGCCAACATTAATGAGATCCGCCAGATGTCCGGGGCCCAGATCAAAATTGCCAATCCAGTGGAAGGCTCTTCTGGTAGGCAGGTTACTATCACTGGTTCTGCTGCCAGTATTAGTCTGGCCCAGTATCTAATCAATGCCAGGCTTTCCTCTGAGAAGGGCATGGGGTGCAGCTAGAACAGTGTAGGTTCACTCATAACCCCTTTCTGCTGTTTTCCCATGATCCAACTGTGTAATTTCTGGTCAGTGATTCCAGGTTTTAAATAATTTGTAAGTGTTCAGTTTCTACACAACTTTATCATCCGCTAAGAATTTAAAAATCACATTCTCTGTTCAGCTGTTAATGCTGGGATCCATATTTAGTTTTATAAGCTTTCCCTGTTTTTAGTTTTGTTTTGGGTTTTTTGGCGCATAAGTTTTATTTTCTGTTTGTCGATAAGAAATGTAAGAGTGGAATGTTAATAAATTTCAGTTTAGTTCTGTAATGTCAAGAATTTAAGAATTAAAAAATGGATTGGTTAAAAATTGCTTCATATTTGAAAAAGCTGGGAATTGCTATCTTAAACTCTTTGTTGGTGCTTTTTTTTTCTCCTTCCCTTTTAGTGTTAGGTGTTTGGAGAGAGGAGGGGAAGGGTGGGCCTGGCCTTGGCTGGTATTTTCTCAAGCCCTTCTCACCTTATCGTAAGATTCCATTCCCTCTGCCCCAACAAAGGAACATGAAGGTTCGGCCTGGTTTGGGAGGGTCACTGAGACCGAGAGTCTCTCCCCGGGAGTGACAACTCCAAGTTCCAGAGAGAGGCCTCTGCCCATTTCTCTGGTAGAAAACATAACGTTTTCTCTGGTGGGAAAGTGTGTCCATTCAGCAGGGCCTCTATGAATGACAACATCTTCATCTAAGCAGGCCCTCCACACCCCTATCTCCAGAAAAACTTAGCCAGGAACAAAAAAGATTCTGGGGAAGGGCTGGGGGTGGGGGAGGAAGGGAGGGGCAGGAACTGGGGAGGAGGAGGAAGGATGGGAAAGGAGGGGCAAGGGCCCCGGGGTCATGGAGGCAAGGGGCAGGGCTGGGTTTGGAGACTTAGAGGAGGGGCAACAGCTGCAGCTGGGTGGTGGGATGTAGAGGGTTGGATAGTGGGAGTGGGAAGGGAGGATCCTACCAATGGGGCGCACGTGTCAAGCATGCACCTGTGGCAAACAGCCTGTCAGGATGTTATTACACCTGCCAAGTGGTGTATCCAGAAACAAAAGAGGCCCACTTTAATTCTTCAGCTGTGTGCAATGTTTAGAGAATCATACCAGGAAATAATTCTGCCTAAACGGGGCAGTCCTGCAGAAATGTAGCCTAATCCATTGGCCTAAGAATAACCTAGATACTAGAAATGCAGATTCCTGGGTCTTACCTCAAAGCTAATTGGAAAACTGCATTTTTTAAGACCCCAAAGGGGTCTCAGATTTGAATGCCACCGATTCACTTTAGTGGATGAAGACAATCTGCCAGTGAAGGCCTAGCTGCCAGCCTCACAGCCACATCAGTTAATGAGACTAGGCCGGACCTGATGAAAGAAGAGAAACTCCACCAGAAACAATAGAACAAGACAATAGATGTTTAGGTGCCAAAGTGTTTAGTTCAAACCCTAGGCATTATGGGAGATCACCAGTGGCAAAGAGAAATTCCTGTGGGAGGGGAGTATTCTTCACAAAAAGTATTTGTCAAGGCTCATTTTCATCAAGACAGCTCCTTCCTGAGGTACAGGTGTAGCTCTGAGAATACTTGGAGGTAAGATCGGGATCTGCCATTTTACACACTGGAGCAGTAGGCAGTCACTGAAAGGAACAGAAATTTTGGGACCTGTATTCAAGTTTTGATTCTGCCTTGGGCAAATTATTTAACCTCTCTGTAAAATGGAGATTGAAAAACACACACCTCCAGGGGCCCGCAGATAGCATGGTGGTGATGGCGCTGGACTCCCACATGGCCAACCATGGTTTGAGTACTGGACCCTTTGGCTTGAAAATCGTATCAGACATGTATGCATGAATGCCCAAAATCCCAAGAAGAGAATGGAGGAAAAGAGTGTGCATGGCCATCCTCCCTGAGAGGGTGATCTCTCACTTTCCCTCTCACTGTCTGTAGTGAACACACACACTATGGCAAGAAACAAAAGACCACGCCTGGTTTTGTGAAAATGAGAGCATGGGGGCAGGCAGGTGGCATGGTGGTTGAAGGCACTGGATCCCCACATGGCCGACTACAGTTCAAGTTCTGAACCTGGTGGCTTGCTTTCTCACTTTCTGGTCAAATTAAAATAATAAAAAATCATTTTAAAAGGATGAGGACATGTATATAAAGTGCTTAGAAGATGATAAATTTCAGTATACCTTAGGATTATTTTTTGGTACGGGCATGAGCTCTTGCCAGACAAGACAATGAGAGGGAAATTAAGGAATGATACCCCCACCCCCTCAGGGGGGATGATCATGCAGTAATCCCTTCTCCATTCTCCTCTTGGTACTTTGGGCACGCATGCACATGTACCCAGTGTGATTCTGAAGCCTCCAGGTCTGGGACTCGAACCGCAGAGTTGGTCATGTGTGATCTATACCTTTTTTTTTCTTTTAAGAATTATTCATTTTTAAATTTTGTTATTTATTCATTTATTTTTAATTTTTTTTTTTTTTGGAGGGGTTTTTGCTATAGGGTCGGTGATCTCCACGGGCGTGTGCACTCGCCAGACAGACAGAGAGACAGAGAGACAGGAAGCAAGAAATCACCCCCCGGGGGAATGGCCACGCCGCAATCCCTTCTCCTCCGTTCTCCTCCGTTCTCCTCTCGGGATCTTGGGCACGCACGTACACACATGCCCAGTGTGAGTTTTAAGCCACCGGGTCCGGGACTCACACTGCGGTCAACTACATGGGAGTCTAGTGACATAGCCATTACGCTAACTGCTGGTCCCTATTTTTAAATTGATCAGAGAGAGAGGGAAAGTGAGAAAGCAAACTACCAGGCCCAAGACTTGAACCTCAGTCAGCCATGTGTGAGTCCAATGTCCACCACGCCACCTGCCTGCCCCTGAAACTTTTCAAGAAGTTCCTGAAATTTGCTGGGTAAAGCGATTCAAACATCCTATAAGAAAGCAGGCCTCAAACTTTCCTCAATCTCCTACTGTTTGTCTTAACTAGCAGTAATTTATAAAATAGTGATTGAGGCAGCAAGATAGGATAGATTGAAACTTGGCGAATCTGAAGACAGCAATGGCATTTAGAGAGCAACCTCAAGGAAGAAGCAGGTTCTAGAAGAGGCTGGGAAGGTGGTATCAGTGGGAATACAAAGAAAGGATCCAGTCAATGGGACAGGTTGAAACTGGGTGGAGGCCAGAGGAAAAGATGGAGGGAGAGGAAGCAATGAGTTCAGGCATGGTGATAGAAATAAATACAGGTAGAGAGATTCAACAAATAACCAAAAATCAGACAAACTGAAAAGGA